CGGCGACGCGCATCCGGAAAAACGTTTCGATCGCCGCGGAACGGACGGCGATCGTCCTTCGAGCGTTGAATCGGCGAAGAAAGCGGAGGCCTGTGGGGCTCCCTGTCGATCGGTTACCAGTTCGAGAAACCCGTCTGCCGCTTGATTTCGACGCGCGCGTTCCGCCGTAACGCAACGCGGATAATGAACGGTTACGTAACGGTGAACGCGGGGGGGATGGAGGGAGGGGAAAAAAAGGAGAAGGATCGACAGATGGGACGCGCCTGATGGGAATCGACGATCGTCATTACGCGTCTCTCCTATTCCCGTTGTCCGGGATACATGTTCTGTGCTTATTGCTCGTCGACGCTCGTTACGGATTGTTGTTTGCGTTATTATTATGATTTCCTCGGGATCCCGGCCTCGCGTAATCTCGTCCGCGGGCCCGCGAGAGGATCGCCGGGAAACGATTGGAATCCGAGCGGATCGATCCCGCGTAAAGGATATTCGCGCCTCTGCGTTTCTGTAGCGAATCGCGATCTCGGTTCTTCCGGGCGCCGAGTTTTCCGGTCTGTTTGTAATCACGGGATCTATGTACGAAAAAAAAAGAAAAGAAAGGGAAGAATGAAAAAAGCGAGATTCGATTTCTATGCTCCGATTGGCGATCCGTGGCTCGGATATTCGATGAATAATGAGCGTCGTTCGAAGGGAATCGACGGGGAGAAGAAGCAGCTCGCGGGGGGAGGGGGGGATCTCGAGGCGCAATTACGCGCATAAACGAATTAAGAGACGCGACGGAAATGTTAATGCCCAAGGCGTGTGCTCGAGAGCGCGGGCCTTGAATAAGGAAATTAGCGTCGCCGCGGTCTCGAGAACCTATTTGCAGTTGGATCATGGTTTTCGTCGGCGACGATCGACGGGATCCTTGGGCCGGCGATCCAGCGAATCTCGGAACGCCGGACTACAGCGACGCGGTCGTCCTTCGCGGTTAATCGTCGGATCCTGCCGGACCAGCAAGGATATATTCCTCCGTGGAATCTTGAGGACTCCTAGAATCGACTCTAGCCGGCTCCCCCTTTCCTCTCCCCCGCGCGGTGGCTGTCCCTCCGCTACGATCGCTATGACACACGCGCCGAGACACCCAATGACGATCGTACAAGGCACGGAAAAGCGTTTCGAAACCTTGATGGACGCTTTCGCGCGGCGTCGCGGACGCGAAATCGTCCTTTCGTTTCAATAATTCTCGGATACGGGCGGACGGTCGATAAAAAAAAATTACGGGGAATTGTTCGCGGAAGAAACGCTTCTTTAGGCGTTCACGGTGAATTCGACCTGATTTCGCGCTCGGATTGCGCAGAAAAGTGGGTTGTTTGGCGGGAGGAGATACGATTGTTACTGTACTATAGTAACTATACTATATACTATGCTATATTATATGTAGTATAGTATATAGTATGGATTGTGCACAAAAATGGGTCATTTGAGGGAGGAGATAGGATTATTACTGCACTATAGTAACTATATACTATACTATAATATAGTATAATATATATAGTATATAATATAGTACCTGTCTCTTATACACATCTAGATGTGTATAAGAGACAGGTACTATAGTAACTATACTATATACTATGCTATATAAGATGTAGTATAGTATATAGTATGGATTGTGCACAAAAATGGGTCATTTGAGGGAGGAGATAGGATTATTACTGCACTATAGTAACTATATACTATACTATAATATAGTATAATATATATAGTATATAATATAGTACAATATACTATAATATAGATTGTGTACAAAAATGGGTCATTTGAGGGAGGAGATAGGATTATTACTGCACTATGGTAACTATATACTATACTATAAAATAGTATAATATATATAGTATATAATATAGTACAATATACTATAATATAGATTGTGTACAAAAATGGGTCATTTGAGGGAGGAGATAGGATTATTACTGCACTATGGTAACTATATACTATACTATAAAATAGTATAATATATATAGTATATAATATAGTACAATATACTATAATATAGATTGTGTACAAAAATGGGTCATTTGAGGGAGGAGATAGGATTATTACTGCACTATGGTAACTATATACTATACTATAAAATAGTATAATATATATAGTATATAATATAGTACTATAAATATTATAATATACTATAATATAGATTGTGCACAAAAATGGGTCATTTGGGAGGAGGAGATACGATTATTACTGCACTATGGTAACTATATACTATACTATAAAATAGTATAATATATATAGTATATAATATAGTACTATAAATATTATAATATACTATAATATAGATTGTGCACAAAAATGGGTCATTTGGGAGGAGGAGATACGATTATTATTGCACTATAGTAACTATATACTATACTATAATATAGTATAATATATATAGTATATAATATAGTACTATAAATACTATAATATAGTATAATATACTATAATATAGATTGTGCACAAAAATGGATCATTTGGGAGGAGGAGATACGATTATTATTATACTATAGTAACTATATACTATACCCCATACCATAGTATAATATAAATAATAAGTAATAATATATACTATACCATATTATAATATAGTATACAGTATAGATTGTGCACAAAAATGGGTCATTTTGGGGGAGGAGATATGATTATTACTATACTATGGCAACTATAATATATACTATACTATATTATAGTAACTATACTATGTATAGTTAGCGATTGTCAACAACTATAACAAACGAGTCGAATAATCGTATCATCTTTACAAAAGATTGTCCATTTTTGTGCACGATTTGAGCGCGAATTAGGAAGAATTTGCTTCATTAAGCAAACAAGGGATAAACGATATAATAAATTATTGTTCTCATATCTTATTAATAGATTCGATTCTTGGTACTTGTTATTTAATCTTATTCGTTAAACGTGTTTTCTACGTTTCGCAAACGGGAAAACGTTTCTCCTGTAGCCGAATTATCCGAGCGTCAATTAGAGAAACATCACTGTATACAGTAAATTCTCTCCAATTGTCACTGAGCTTGTACACAAAAATGCACAATTTGGGAACAGAAGATACGATAATTCGAGCCTTGCGGCTCGTCTTTATAGTTGTTGACAATTCGTGACTATAAAAATGAACCGCAAGGATCGAACAATCGTATCTCATCTTCCAAAATTGTCCATTTTCGTGGACAATTGGAGCGTCAATTAGAGAGACATTACTGTAATTGGTGTATTAACCCTTTGCACTCGAAGCCATATTGACTAAATTTAAATTAACTTTCCCGATGTATGGTGTTTTCATTTTAATGACAAAGTGCATTTTATGCATATGAAATTGAGTCTTGTGACTCATACAACAGTTAGTTGTTGACTCATACAACTCATACAACTTTGAACAATTCTTTATACGTAAGCTTTGTTATTAGAAAAATTACCTTGGAACGTGGTGTAACAATTTTCGTGGTGCCTCGGAGTCACCACTCGAGTGCAAAGGGTTAATAAGTGCCGAATAATGTACAGCACTCTTTTCGGTATAAAATGGACAATTTGGCGGCTCGCTTTATCTGTGGAAACGAGTCGCAAGGCTCAAATAATAGTATCTCCTCTTCCCCGAATTGTTCATTTTTCGGCACAATCCGAGCGTCGATCAGAGAGACATCGCTGTATCGCATAAAAATCCGCGATCCAAACAACAATAGCCGCGGCTCTCCACTTTCGAGTGATCGGAGCGTCGACAGGTGTGCACAGAGTGCATGCAGCGAGCGGCCGTGATCGCGCCGAGAACGATAAGGAAAAAAAGCCTAATTCTCTCGAAATCGATTGGCTCGAGGATCCGCGGCGGAGCAAGGCGATGTGGAAGCAGAGGTCGTCGAAGAGGGACGGAGAGAAAAGTTCGCGGAGAAGGACGGAGAAGGAGCGGAGAGGAACGGAGAGGGACCGAGAGGGATCGAGAGCTCCAGTCACAGAGTCGGAGTCACGCAATTAGTTTTCATTGCGACAAAGCCGGGTATATATCAGTGCGAAAGGCATTGAAGGGGGCCTTGCCACGGCCTGCACTTCCGCGTATCAGCCGGCTATCTTGTCTCGCGTGGTATCTGCGCGACAAACAACGGGCTCGCGCCTCGTTTTCTCGTAGACACACGGCCGCGCGAACCGTCATTAACGCGACTGTCGTGCGGAAAATGGACGGGGTATCGCGTGAGTCTGCGGCTATCGCCGCTTTCTTCGGCTGAAAAAAAGAAAGAAGAAGCGGAGATCCCTCTCGCTTCCCGATCGAAAACAGAAAATCCGTGCGCGTGGCCGAGCGGAGAGAGAGAGAGGCGCCGATTGCGAGTCCGGTGCATTTCTCGCCGGACAAAAGGGGAAAGAGAGGGCCCCGGTGTCGAAGACGCGCCGAAAACGAGCGTTTTTTAGAGAAAGGGGGCTCGGAGGGGCGCTCGCCGGCAATTTGTCGCGATTGCCGGCCGCTAATGGCCTCTTCTCCTTTCTCCCGTTCCTCCGGCCGCGTCGCAAAAACCGTACAATTAGCCCGTACAAATTATGCATGTGTCGCTGGCGAGGTGCGTGCAAAAAATTGCCGCTCCCCGACCGCCGCCCCGCTAGCCCCCCGCTCGGCCATAGTCATCGATCAACGACACAGCCACGAGGAACCAGTACGCGGACGGTGCACTCGCGGCGCGTCGCAGCGCATCGCGAGTACGAACACGTACGATCTGGAATAGAAGGATCGAGGGGATGCGTGCTGGCTGCGTGCTTATTTTCGAGAGCTCGGGACGCGAAGGGAGAGGAGAGGGTCACCACCACTGTCTCCCCGTCCCTTCGTTCTCGCGCCGCGAACCCTTTACCTGGAACGGCGTTGCGAGACGCCGTCTCCCTATTCCCTGTCGCCGCCGCCGCCGTTGCTACCGATGGCGATGCTGCCGGTGTCCGACACACAAGACTCGCCACGATTTAAAAGGAATAATCGCTCGTCCTTTGTGCCGAAGGTCTACACCAGGAACGCGAGCGGCATAAGGGGACACGTGGAGGCATACGTGGCCGCCTTCGACAAGCACTGGAACCTCGCGCTCGAGGACTGCTTCGAGGTTTGGACCCGCAAAGTCAAGAGGAAAGCGCCTGCCCTCGGTACTGTATTCCACGCTATTCCGCTTCTATTCTCGGTGACCATAGATCCGATGCTAATCGACCGGCTTCCAGAATATCAATGCGGATTCGACTCGGCCGACTCGGAGACAGTTCGCCGCGGTTCTATTACGATTTTTCCTACGCGTCCCGTTTCGAAAAGCATTCGTCCCTTCCACTTTTAGGTCACTGAAAATTACTATCGATCTTCGCTTTATAAATTAAACTAATCTTTAGCGCCTGTGAATCGTCCGAATCTAAAAATAGTTTGGCGCTACCGGTGAATTTGATGAGAAATTATTATTATTATAGATATTATATATTATATATTATTATATATATATATTATTATTATATATATATTATTATATATATATTATTATTATATATATATTATTATATATATATTATTATTATATATATATATTATTATATATATATTATTATTATATATATATTATTATATATATATTATTATAGATTATAGTCGTCGCGACGATCTCACGCAATTTTGGACAAGTTATCATCGGTGTACGTTAACTGAATTATTTAAAAGTTCACGCAATCGTTTAGTAACTCATCGAGTTTGCATAAGCATAATTGTATAAGCATAATGAATACGCATAAGCTACCGAGGCCTACGAAAGGCATTTTCTAAATCTTCGTTATAGGCTCGGGTAAAGAAGATAACAAACGGGAGTTCTTCATTTGTCTCGTGATTCTAATTAACGGCGAAATTAAAAATAGTATATTAATCTTTGTTTATCAAATCGTCGCTTCTAAAAAAAACATATTCGAGTCAGTTACTCCAGTTTTGGAAAAGTTATACCGTTTTCCAAGTGATTTTAAGTATGCAAGCCGCGATTAACCCCTTGCCGTACCATTTTCTTCGTAATTATGATGATAAGCACATTTTCGATTGTAATAATTTCTCTGAAAAAAGAAAAGAAAATTATATTTATCGTGAGTCTACATTTACTGGGATGATTAAAGCATTGATCACAAGAGGACAGAATTTTATCCTGGCTTTAAAAAACGGAAAAAAATAACATTGGTATTTAATAGAATATTACTAAAAATCTGCACCACGAGTCTGACTCGTTAAAGTACGGCGAGGGGTTAAATTGTCGTATGTATACTGTGTGCAAGGGTACGTATCGAAAGCTGTCATTCCCAAAGGGTTAACGGAGCGAAAGATTTGTTATAGTTCGATAATTTCTTCCGTCACGTATCGAGAAGAAAACGAAGGGTATTTCTTGAAATCTTTATCCTCGGTTAATCGGTTCTTGGTGCGAAATTGACGCGATACGATTGCAGTAAATTCTCCCTAATTTTGCTTCAGCTTGTAAACAAAAGTGGGGAAAAAAGATAGAAAATGAGATATAAATTTGAGAAAGATTATTCGATATATTCGAGCCTTATAATAATACGATTATTCGATAATACGATTAAACCGAGCCTCGCACCCCGTTTTCATAATTATTAACAATCGGCAACGATAGAAATGAGCCGCGAGGCTCAAACAACGGTATCTCCTCTTCCCAAATTCTCCACTTTTGCTCACAAACTGAAGAAAAATTAGGAAAAATATACCACAGAAGATGAACAAATAGCAGAAGCCCTGGACACGAAGGAAACAAGGCGATTCGCGGAATTCGGCGAAGAATCCGACACGTTCGTCCGGGAAACAGCTTTTCCGTTAGTTATGGTAATATCTTGGAACGTGAATCGGAGCTAACGAACGTGTTTTCCCTGACTCACGGCGCGGCCCGAGGGGCGATCAGTCATCCGTCTCAGGGTTAATTACCTTGGACGATTCAGCGGCCGCGGCGCGTTTCGCGGGACCGTTGTGTTCGGCGGCCATTTATCGGCCTCGGCGGCGAGAAAAGCCACCTTCGAATCCTCCGGCTGCGCTGAACTCCGCGCGCGGGTGCTGCATGGTGCACAGATGATCGCCGTGGAAATTTTCAAATTATCTACGTAATGGTGACGGGGCTACGTCGGTGTTGCGGGAACCCGCGCGCGCCACCAGAATTTCAATACACGCGGGGCACCGGCGGCCGTGCCGACGCTCTCGCCGTACTCTACCCGAGCCAATGCGAATCCAATTTAGTCCTTCCTACGCTCGTCTGACCATGAATGACTCCTACTACTGGCCGTGTGTCAATGGAACACGTTCGCGCGTCCCCCTATTTACGAGAGCCGATCGATCCGCGCGCGCACCGCTCCGCGAACGGCGGAGTTCGTTCGCGGAGGAATATTTTGCGACCAACAACAAGCAACAACAACTGAATAAAACGCTATCTAACGGCGCGGACGAACTGGTCTAAAAATAAACTATTCGTAATTCTTGGGACGGGGACCGGTCTCGCGAGCGCGCGCGCGCGCGCCATTGTTCCCGCGATCGGCGAGCACGCGCGTCGATCCTCGATCGATCGCTTCGACTGGAAACTTGATCGATAGCTATTTCTGGAAATTTCGTGTCCGTTGGTTTTTTTTACTTTCTTTTTTTCTTTCATCCGATTCGTCCACCAGCGTGTTTGATCCACGGCACGGCGATCGGAGTCGCGCACACGTGCGGATTTCCATTATCCGCGGCCATCACGTGCGCAGAAGCGCACGTGATTAGCTGTTTCGTGATCGGGGCGATCGAGAAGCGAGCGGTTGAGTAACGCGTCGCGAAATCGAATTCGAGGCAGAAACGATTCGCGCGATCGACCGAGAGGGTGGCCGAGCCGGTCGAGGTGACCAATTACTGTGCCCTAGGTCGATTAACTTTATATTTATCGAGAGAGACGTGTTCGATTTGTCGATTGATTTTTCACTGATTTAGCGATCGATTTATCGATTGATTGATTTATACCAGGGGTGTGTCAAACTTAAAACAATAATAAGTAAACAATAATTTAACTTTATATATGTTTATTACAATGTACTAGTCAAAATAAAAATATTTGTTTCTATGAACATTGATTTTTTTTTTGCGGCCCACCTAAAGTTAAGCATCGTTTACTTATTATTATGGCCCAAGTTTGCTTTTGAGTTTGACACCCCTGATTTATACAATTTGTTTATTAATTTATTTATTGATCTATTTATTGATTCAGACGTGTCCAATTTATTTCGTTCATTTTTCGATACAAAAAAATCTAACGTGCCTCGATCGACAAAAACGTATACAATAATGTCTCCCTTACTGACGCTCAGATTGTCCACTAAAACGGACAATTTGAGAAGAGGAGATACGATTATTCGAGCCTTGCACCCTCATTTTTATAATTGTGAATAATTTATAACCATAAAAATAAACCGCGAGGCTCGAACAATCGTGTCTCCTCTCCCCAAATTGTCCACGTTTTTTATCAATCTGGGCGTCAATTAGAGAGACATTACTGTAAAGCGAATCACGGCCGTAAACAAAGCAGAGGCGCGATGACAATTGGTCGGATCACAGTAACCGGTTCCACTACCCTAGTCTCGTTTCCATCGGGGAGATTCAGATGATCGAGAAAGAACATTCTAGATCGCGGAACGGAGAGTATCGGGGATCGTTGTTAAAAACGCGGAGCCGCGTGCGCGTGCCACTCGCCGCGCGTTTATTTACACGGAAAGGAGGAAGTTACGGGAGCCAGGGAACAGAGAGAGAGAGAGAGAGAGAAAGAGAGAGAAAAAGAGAGGTAGAGAGAGATCCTGAGGACGCCCCTTTACGCTAGGGGCAAAGACCGACCTTGACTACGTAGTGGTTGCTACGTTCGATACAAGACCCATGTGCCTCGCGTCGTTCGTTTCCCTTTTTTCCTCTCTTTCTCTCTCTCTCTCTCTCTCTTTCTCTCTCTCTCCCTCTCTCTTTCTGTCTCTCGTTCCCTTGAGCGCCGAACACGTCTTTCTCTCTCTTTCCCTCTCCGTCCGTTTCCCTCTCGCTCCCGCTCCAGCTGCTCCCCTTCCCGCTACTCCCGTTTTCCTGCTGCTCGGCGTCTCTTCCTTCCGTTCTTCCTTCTTCTTTCTTCTTTCCTCGTTCCGCTGCACACGGTCGCGCACAGCACACAGGCACAGAAAACCCGCGCAACCGCTGGCACAACCGCTGGCACACGTTCCCATTCATTCACGTGGTACGCTAGGTCCGCACGTGCGACCGCAATCGCATCTTTGGTCGAACGCATTCGTCCCGATCCGCGACAGCCACGTCCAACTTCACCCCGGACCCGCGTTTTTTGCCGGCGGATTACGAAACACCGGATCGACCGTGATCGATACACGGCGCGCATCGACGCAACACGTCGGCCTGCTGGCCGCCATGTTCCAGGATCGTTGGACCATTCGATCTCTTGGAAATGGAAGTTCCTCGAGGCAGTTCGATGTCCAAAAATATTCGGACAACTGCGATAATTTCATTCTTTTGGGCTTCGTAGTGGTCGAATTTGGTTTGGTCGAAGCCAAGTCGAAGCAACCCCGTTTGAACGATCAGAGAATTATATCCATATTTCACTGTACGGCAGGGGTGGCCGAACTTTGATTACTATGGGCGACCTGTTCTCTTTTTTTTTAATTAGGTGGTCATATGAAAAGTAGTAATTTTAAGCTAAATTCATTTGATCTCTCGGAAATGCAAGTTTCTCGGAGCAGTTCGATGTCCAAAAATTCGGACACCTGCGATCCTTTCGTTCTTTTTGGCTTCGCAGTGGTCGAATTTGATTTGGTCGAAGCCAAATCGAAGCATCCTCGCGTGGTTTGAACGATCAGAGAATCATATCCATATTTCACTGTACGACAGGGTTAAAATTTTGATCACTATAGGCGACCTGTTTTTTTTTTAATTTGATGGTCATAAGAAAAGTAGTAAAATCAGGCAGGAGGGCGACACTTCGACCACCCCTGCTGTACGGTAAATTCTCCCCAATTGAGTCCTTCAGCTTGTAATTAAAAATGGACAATTTGGGAAGAGGAGATACGATTATTCGAGCCTCGCGCCTCGTTTCTATAGCTGCTGATGATCGACGATTATA